GTATCTATCCATATGTACCATCAAAAACTACTAGAAAAGTGATTATTACTATTACTTTGGTTTGTCTGTAGTAGAATTGTTGTTGGTTTCACTTTCTTCCTATGCTTTTCTATAGTTTACAAATTTTCAATATGCTTTTATCATCAGAAAGCAGAAAAAAATTTAAAAAAACAGGCATATAAAAATCGGGCTAACTAAAATGAAACAAATAATCTTTTACTCTTTCCTTCTGATATTTACTTGGCCCTGAAAATTCCTGCAATAAATATTTTTGATGTTGTAGTAGTATGAAAGGGGAAGAACCTGTGGAACAGTATTATATACTTTCTTTTGATTTTGGTGGTGGATTTTCTGCTAACAAATTAAAGAGAAATTTATATGTTCCATATTGTCATAGCTCAAAAAAACAGTAACAATTGATGTGTTGGTATTTTTGTTTTTAAACCCTTATATACAGTTTCAGATATTGAATGTAAGTCATGGCTTAAAATGAAAATGTTGCAATGCATTGTCTTTTTACTCCTAAAATAATTATACTAAATATTATAATAAGCAGATGTGAGACAGTTATTAAATATAACTTCTATTTATGTTCCTCTAAGGTATAGAGAACCTTGTATCTCTTATTGAACGTATTTAGCTTAGTAATCTTCTATATTTTGAATGTGTAACTTTGAGTCAACTATCATTGCTCTTTAGGGCAAATGTATATGGTTAATTCAAAGCTTTTTGGAGAATGTAATATGTTGGAAACTGTTTAGTTTATGAAACTTTTGCATTTGTAGCACTCTCATCATTCCTTTGATCGGAAATGGGGACAGATTCAGAAGTGGCTGGTAGGCCAGGATTGCCTGTCCTGCATGTTGTGATCAGTTGCTGAAATAATGCAATCTTGATGTAAAACATTGACTAATGGTTTGCCAAGTAGGAATGTTTGGCCTGTGTGAACATAAAGGTCAGAATATTCATTCTTTCTATAGTGGACCAAAAGTTCAATATGCTCACCTTTATTTCATGAATAATCCTGCTCAAGAAAGACTGAGAAAATGAATGCGTGTTTTCTTTTTATGGGTTTGTTCCTTTTTTTCCCCTTCTTCTTCCTCTCCCTTCCCCTTAAAAAAAAAAAAAAAAACCATGAAAAACTAAGTCCACAGTGAGAAATGACCCAAGTCATTCTGTCATCTCCTCTGAAAATTACTCTTATTATGTCAACTCTCTCAGCTCCTTTTTCAAGTCCTCTACCACTACTCCCTAATTTGTTAGCTACAAAAGCAAATTGTAAACCAGTAGAATGTTACTGTGGATCGTTCCTAAGTTTGAACTTTTTTCAAGGTTGGTGAGTTCCCCCATTGTCTCTTAAAACAGGGGTTCTTAACTTGGTATGTGACTAGACTTGAAAGGTGAGATATGAAGCCTTAAAATCCCATGCAAACTTTTGAATGTATGTATTTTTGTGGGAAATGCCCACAGGTATTTTTAACATTACATTCTCAAAGGAGTCTGTGATTCCTAAAGGGTTAGGAACCACTAATTGCTATTAAACAAGCAACTTTCTTAAGCACATCTCTTCTATAGCAGCATTTTAAGGTACAACCAGAATTAAAATATTATGACTATAATGACCTTCAAATTTAAAATTTTATCATAATTCTCATTTTGACATTGTTTTAGAAAAGAGAAAAAGAATGTTTGGGTACTGGAAATTAAATGACTCCGTGTGTGTGTGTGTGTGTGTGTGTTTATGTTTGTGTTTTGGAGTGGAATCTGTCCTTTCTTTTAACTAAAGCTAGCCTGATTAATTTTATTTGATGTGTCCTCTGCATGTAACTGGGTTAATATTATTGCTGATGCAATAAGAATGTTTTGTGTCAATAAAAGAAATCACTTGCAAATTTTCCATGCAGATATTAGTTTGTTCCTTTAATTATGTATTATAGTTTTAAAATTAAATTGGGTAACATTTTAATATCTTAGGGAAACCCAAAAAACGATTCAATAAAGAGAAAAGTTTATATTAAAAGTTTAATATTTGATTTCTGTGTTCAAGGGCCATGAAGATAAACAATTTAAAGAAAGATCTTTGTGAAACATGTGCGATTCAGACAGTGAGCGTGCTAGATTTTCATAGACGGAGGAGTAGTTCAGGGTAGAATCTTAAAATACAGTTGGCGACTAACTCAAGTCTTGATTGACAGCTAGGACTTGGACATGCAGAGAAAGTGGGGTTTAGTTTTAAATGGGAGTAATTATCACTTCTAACCCCATCTCTTACTTGCTTTTACTCCTTTTAAACTTATTCTTTGTCTTCTTTTCTTATCCTTGTCTTTCTGGCTGCTTTGTCTGTGAACCCAGAGCAGAAGTTGCCATGTGATAGACATAGTATAAAACATAAATGGCTAATAAGTTTATAGTAAAATAAACAATACATACACATGCAGTAGGATTGTCGGTTACTAGAAGGAAGAATCTTTCCATATTAAAAATTTCCCCTAATTTTAATACTCTCTTTTGTGTGGGGGTGGGATGTTGAGATGTGAATAAGGAATGCAAGGGCACAGGGCTCAGGAATGAAGCTAACTTTGAGTGCATACTGTATACCAGCACAATGCTAGTGCTTTTTATGTAGGTTTTAATTTCACATTATAAGACAGGTATCACTATCTCCATTTCATAGACAAGGAGACAAAGGATTGGTGAAGTAAATAACTTGTAGTCTCTGCATGGTCATTGGTAGAGCCAGAATTTGAAGGTGTGAGAAAGTGCCACAGCTGCTAATGAGTTGGAAGATGAAAGGACCAAGAAGAAAAGGGCCTGGGTCTTCCTAGGCCTCGAAATAGTCTTAGTTTAGCCAACTTTCCATGAGCCTAATAATTCTGTTTTTAAACTGGATGTCTTAATCAGTAGTATGTCTGAAAGAGTAAATGTATGTCTGGAAGAGTAAATACAGTTTCTGAAGTTTCCTAACTTGAAACCGAAGGAATGATTCCAAGCTTGCATAGTTGGAAAAAAAAAAAAAAAAAGAAATTGAAGGAATGACTTCAGCCCTGACTTAATATTATTTGTTGACAGATAAGATGGCCAATTGTATTCACGGGGCTGTAGTTTTCTTTTAATGAAACTACTTCATCCTGATGTCAAGTAAACTTTTAAAAATAAAGAGTATGTTTCATTTTCATTATTTTAAATGTATCAAAATGTAATTTTCCAGAAGATTTTGAACAAATATACATCCACTTTTTAAGACATTGTTCTGTTTGTTCAGTCTTGGGTCTTTTGTACTAATAAGGACTTCTGGCATAATGACGATGTATTATTTTCCTGACTATAGAAGAAAGGGATACTCTGCCTTGTAATTGGTACATAGGAACACAGGTTGCTGCAATCATTTCTATTTGGTCACTGGCGCTATCACTTCAAGAAAAGCCAATTGATGTTGTAAATACTACTCTAGTAATACCTAGGAAATGAAGCCTTATGTTCTTCTAGAGAAGGAGGAATCTCTGAGTAAAAACCAGAATACCTTGCCATTTTCTTCTTCTTTTTTTTACTATGTAATTAGTGTAGATTTAGCCAGTGTAGGATGTTATCTTTATGGTTCAGTGGTCTGGTGAGTCAGAAGGTCTGAATGCTGGTCCCAGCTTTATGACCTTGTAGATTCTTAGTTAATCCTTCTGTGTCACAACTTTCTTTGCTATAAAATGAAGGGATCAGAGATGATCTATAAAGACACTTCTATCTCTTAAAAATAATTATAGAGTTGCTACCAGGGTCTTGTATGCAAGAGTTTTCTTTTGTTTCCCCTAACATTTGCCACTCTGCAAACATATTTGAGATAGGAAGAGTAATTAATAACTACCCATATGCTCTGCATTTCTATCTGAGAGTGGTGCTATTTGGCAGACTCTTAGTAGCATGCATACTTTGAGTGTTTTGGAGTAATTAAAATTTGCTTTGAGCTTGCCTTACTGTTTTACCTAAACATGTATTTGTCAAATAGCTTTGGAGAGGCTGCTGTCCTGTATGGTAGCCACTAGCCACGCGTAGATAATTAAACTTAAATTGACTAAAATTAAATAAAATTTAAAATTTAGTTTCTCAGTTGCACTTCCAGCATTTCAATTGCTCAATAGTCACATGTGGCTAGTGGCTACCATATTAGCACAAATATAGAACATTTCCATTGTCACGAAGTTCTATTGCACAGTACTTACTTAAGGTACAGTTTATGACTGTAAACTATATTCTCTGTCCAAATTAAGTG